CAAATTTGAATACTCATATTTATCTTCTGTATTCCTGTTCAATACAACTTTGTATCAATAAGGCATTCAATAACTGAATAGTTTTGTTGACTATTTTGTTGTCGGCCAGTTCTAATTAAAATTAGATAAAAGTACAAAAGATTGATTCTAACTAGAAGTGGTAAGATTCCATTCACAAAACAAAGGTCATCAAAGTAAAATTCACTCATGCTAATTAGAACAAAATTTACAATGGAATCTTGTCACATTTCTACATAGTTTCAGTTCATGATTATAATGACAGTGAATTGAATAATTGTGTTTGATAACTTTGACTGTGTTATAACTGACTGTGTTCCAATGAGATATTAGATAAAATATATTGCATGAATGAATGTTGTATATGTTCAGCACATATATGAATTCACCAAGTATACGAAATACAATGTGTGCTACTCACGCTACATCTACATTGTTTGAATACATTGATTACGCGGATGTGACAACTTAATTCAGTGGAAATTCACAATGAATAGTATCTATTGCGAAACATCAAAATGATTGCAACCTTCTTTCTCCTTAATGATCATCCGAATGAAATGCTGGTTCAGACAATGCCAAACGGTGTCAGTAGATGTATTGGTGTAACAGCATTTGAATTTACAAAGAATTTATTGAAAAATCATTAAATGACAGATAAATAATTTATTCAGATTATTTTAGTTGAAGGCAAACAAAAAGTGTAGATTAACAAGTTAATATGAAAATAACAATATGTTTTGTATGTGCACGAAAACTAGTTAATTAATGGTGAAATTCTCAATAAGGATAAATTGTTGATTGTTTAAATGGTCAACTGCACGTCATCGGCATCATCATGATCATGATCATGATCATCAGCGAAGCATATATTTAAGATGCTGAAATGCAAGAGAAACGATAGAGGATTATCTGATATTGTTGAAAGTAAGTATGAATATTTATGGTGAAATGTGAATGAATATGTGTGAATGACTGAGGAGTGGAGATTGTGTGTGAATGACAGTTGGTTTGTGTAGTTACAGCATTGAAGTATTTATTGTTTTGTTTTAATGTGTTGATGTACTAATGAATTGGTAACTAGGGAATATAGTGATGATGGCCAATCAATTTTTTCAGTTTCGTTAAATAACTAGTTTCTACTGAAGTGATACGATATGGCTTATTGATTTTTCAAATATACTACTGTAACTTATGCACTCCATGAACTGGACGTGTTTCACTACATGGCGAATCAATATTTTTAAAAAGCTGTGGCTTCAAATATCATAACTTACGAACTGTGATATTAAATCCAACGTTTGTCATTACGCGGAATTTGGGGTCCACGACTTTTGGAAAAGCGTATACTGTGTACTCTTCACCAGGCGTTAAAAAAGGAATCCTGATTTCTTGTCCTTTAGCCATCTGCATAATTGTTGGTTTCCCGAACAGGAAGAATACCAATTCTTTATCTTTGCAATTATCATAGTCTTGAAGTTCCCAGGTTATTCTGGCAACTTTTTCATCATCAAATTTTGTTTGAAAATGACTCATTTTTGGTGCATCTAAAATTCAGAATGATATAAATGATTATCACACCTTCATTTCTAATGAAAAACGAAATTTACTTGAAGTAGTGTATTTAAAATGTAGAAACTACTTATTGGGTCAATAAAATAACGTATTTTACCTGCATTATATTTTGGAAGACTTACCCAATGATTCTTGATATTGTTTTGAGAAAATTGGACTGTAGTCTTTGTCATTCTTTTTCTTCTGATATATGGTGTATTTTAGAACTATTTCTTTACATATTGGTATATCACATAATTGCACTTCATTTGAAGTTGAGGATTCAGTCCGGAGCTCTGAATTCATCAATTCCAATTCAAATTTGTAATCGTATTCTTTATTTTGTTCAAACGTAGCTTCATATGTCGCGCAATCATATCGATATCTTCTTTTAATATGTGATTCATCCACTTTCGCTTGATATTACAAATTGCCAACGACGTAACATATGAAAGAGGAAAACATGTCAACAGAGAGTCACTGTGAGAAAATGAAGTAAATCCGATAACAATGTGTTAGATAAGAAAGTAATAGTCAATGGAAATGTCAATAATTACTGCTATTCTTTCATATGTCATGAATGTTAATTAAATGTCAGAGGGATTATCCAACAAATGATTAGTTCGTTTGTTTATTTATACCAGATGAAAGGCTTATGTAGTTGAATAAATGAAATAATTCAATTTACAAGTTAAAAATAAAAAAAGACAACAACTAGTCAAAAAAATGATGTTTTATATTTTTAGTGCAAGCAAAGTCAACTTAAGATGTTTAAATGACTAAGAATCGTCACAAAACATTTATTGTCGATGCACAACCCCTATACACTTTTTATTTCTAAGTGTCATTTTCACAAAAAACAACACTTATTAAACACTACTCTTGTCTTATGATGATGATGAGGAGGAGGATAAATTTAGGACATTAAAGAAATTAATTACCTTGTGCTAATGTCGTCAATAAGACTGCAATAAGACCAACGTAACAAAACATCCTTCTCTATTGATGTGATTAGGTGCTTTGGCTGTTTCACAGTTGTTGAATATTGATATAAGTTTTAAATTCTATACAATTGTTTATATAGTTCTCTGTTTATCTATACATTCATTATTCTAGTGGTATGATTTTTACTAGATCAGCAGATTTTTCAATAGTTCTTTGTTTTTTTTTCTTCTTCTGATTATAGTGATTCTAATTATTTAGACATTCTTTAGTCGCTAGACAAATGAATATTTTGCTAATTAATTATATCACCATATACGAGACTCAAAGAAAAATGGTTTAACAAATAAATTAATGAAAAGAAAGAGTGTAATATGAATTACATTGAATATTTATTACTCTATGATTTTATATATCTTTTTGAAATTTATTTGATACAAGAATATAGCCATCATTTCATTTTCTATCAATACTAACATATACACATCGACGGGGTTCTTGAATAATATTATGTATTTGAAAATGGCTTGCTTACCATTCTAAATAAGAAATGGTCAATTAATTTAAACATTTTTTTACGTTAGTTGTTTTTCATTAAGGCACATGTTTAGATTCGTAACTCGCATTATCCAAATGGAACCGAATATATTTTAAATTTCTAATTGTGAATGTCATAAATGTTAGCATAGTTTAGCTAAACTAAAAAAAAGTTGTAGTATATAACTTATTTGGCATACAACCAGCGTTTGGATAATGAACATTAAACTAGTATAATTTATCACTTTCTGAAGAACGGCTTATCAGGAGTGTTGAGGTGTCTAAGAATTATGGAGATATATCATAAACCATCAGATCATTTATAATATTGATTCTAACTAGATTAGTCGTATATCTGAAACTACAATAAAGGTACTGAACATTCGATTGCATTAATGTGTTAATACGAATGTGAAAATAAAGCGCATATATCACTAATACATATGTATAATTCATGCCATTTTTTAGAGTATTTATTACTTCATGATAACTATTGTTTTCACATTCTTAATCTCGAGTAACCGATTCAAATATCTGGACTTACATTTTCGTTTTTGTCCATAGTTATCAGATTAATTAGATGCCTTGTACAGGTCTTATATCAAACACAAAACATGATATTAAAAGCCATCTTCAACTCTCAAATGTTTAGATTGTTCAACAAGTCCCTCAATCTTATAATATGAGATTGATCATTTTCAAATCCATATGTAGTTGTAGTCATGTTATCATTATGAAATCTTCGATATTGTTTCGCCAACTAGTGACGATTTTTTTTGTCATTGCCATATGTATTCCATCGGTGATAAGATTATAGCAACTTTGGGTATTTTACATGCATTTTATGCTTCAAATTGTTAACAACTTACTCGTTCACTGTTTCATGCCTGTTCAAATAATGTGCACTTAGATTTTTAGTATTACTTTTCCCTTTTTTTTACCAAAATCAATATATCTTTCAATTCGTGTGAATTCTGAAGCAATTATTGTTACCATAATGATCGACAGGAAGATAATAATGAATCAACTGATATTCAGTGAAGGAGAACCGTTGAAATATGATTGAAATAGATTTATATGATGATATACACCTTTTTGCTGTTTCACTTATTGCAGCTAAATGTACCGAGCCGCACGTCAACACAAATTTACTCACTGAAACAACTAAAGCATATAAAAGTGATCTTGTCTGAATTAAATTGTCAATCATGTCCTTCTATGGAAACATACATCTAGCAGCATCACTATTCTCATCACATTTGCACATTATTTTAAACAACAGTGATATACATCTCCCATTTAGTAATGTAGCTGGTTTTGTTATGTTTTAGAATCCAGGACTCTAATCTCACACTTCAATTCATTTCGAGAAAATTCTCTGGGACAGATTCTTTTATCTTGGATAGTAGTATTCTTTGAAGAGGATATAGACACGGATCCCAAAACTCATGCTAAGAATGATGTAAACAAAGTTTAAAGTTCCAAAAATAAACTGTTGTCACTGTCTTTTGTAAACATATTGCTTTGAAAACTATAATCTGAACCATAAGCTGATACAGTATGTTTGCTTATGACTGTGTCTAAGTCTGTGAAAAAATTAAGCTTTATTTTTTGAAATCCTTATATATAACTAGTATTTAGAGTTGATGCATCCATTAATCTGTCAGTAGCTAATTTAGTAATTAGCTAAATTAGGAGAAAGATTTGGGACATTTATATTTTCACCAGCTTTCTACCAATACTGTATGGTTTAAAATGTCCATGTATGAAAAGCGAAGTGGGGAAGGCGAATGAGCCAAATCCACTTGATGAGGCATAACTACATATTTATAGTCAGACAAAACTAAGCTAGTCGCATGATTATTGAAGTAAGTAATGTGTACAGCAACCAAGGGTATAAGCAAATGATTAACAAGTCAAAAGGTGTGTAAATAATTGCTCGGGAAGAATGGATTAATTATTTGTCTAAAAACTGCAACAGGTCATGTGGGATTGACAAAATGTTACACTACACATTACGCATGTAAAGAAATATGGACACTGTTTGTCAGCTGGAAGCTGGACTGAAACATCGGTTCATTTCTTCCTTCTGATAATAATATTAGTTCCTCTTATATCTCTTGCGATTATCTGAATTCTATTATGTGTCTTTAGTAATAGCTAGTGTTCATATTCAGTCGCTGGTAGTCGCTAGTTGAACACAATTATTACTATCCCGTTCGAGAAACACAATCAATAGTGATTTCTTTCAGCTGTTCGGTGGCCCGATTATTCCTAAAGTTATCATATCATCGAACTAGTCTTTAGCTAACTTTAGCTTCTTAGAAACCAGTTGGTTAGTCTTTGAGAATACAGATGTCACTGTAGTTGTGTTGTGATCTGTGTCATCGTTGGTTACACGGTACTTTTGGTTGCTCATTACATTTAAAGATACTTGCTGAATATCGGCTGGAAGAATGGGTCGACTTTATACCTAACCTAAAATCAGAGAATGAAAGTCCACAACAATATAATTAAATTTTTACCTCCAGAAGCTTCTGTTTGTATGGGTTGGCGAAAACGTTACGGTGTTCTGTGCTTATGATCGATACTGACACACCTATAGCAACAAAAATTCACGGTGGAGGTTCGTATAATCTCAAATTAAAGTAGACGTACTTTTTCCTCTTACTGGTTATCATTTTTCTGTTCACCGTTTGTAAGCTGAAGATCGGGCTTTGTGTACGGTCGTCAGTATTCGCAGAAAGAACGATGACTTCATTATAGGTGTCGATGAGATTGAAAACCCTAATCGTTCCATCATTGATGCTTGTTAATCAACTGTAACAGTTGTCATTAACGCAAGATGGTGAGAAAGTTTCCCTCAAGGCTTTATATTTGAGTAGGTTTGCAGTTAAGTTCACTGCAGACTGTTATGCACTTTCCAGAAGACTTAACACTAGTGTTAGAGTAATAATGCCTATTAGAACTACCTGTTTCTCGCGCCCTAGAAACAGATACTTTGCTTGATGGGCTTCTCTGAGTAACTTCTCATTGTATGCAATCATGGTGATGGTGGATAAAACAAGTGATAGCATTAGAGAGATCTGCAATTTTGTATGAAATCGACTGAGGGTTTTACTTGACTGGGAAAACCTTGGTACTGAAGTATCTAGTGGTGGAGAGAATCTTCTCAGTAAACTTAGCTATTTCATACATGATTTTATTTTGGAGATGAAACAAGATCTGCTTGTATGTTTTGAAGAAGCTTTGATCAAAATGTTGTGTTGAAATGTTCTGATCGAAAGTTCGTTTCCCGATGACCATATCTACTTAGTATGACAAATTTGTTGACTCATGCAGCGATGCCATCACTACTGGGAGGACCTATTCCTATTAGTCTATCACGCTGTGTTGTTGAAAATAAGGTTCTATACAAGTGAACCTGAATTTTATGTTGCTAGGTCAGAGTGGCATGAAATACAACGTGGAGGGCGAGGGAGTCCTAATCTTCGAAAGTTTTGGGCATTTGTCC